AACATGGTGGCTCTCCTGATTGGGGTCAGCGGAAGTGGGTCTTCCCCCACAGACCAGCTGCATCTGTGTGTCATTTTTGTTTTTCTGTTGCTTGTTTTTGTTTGATGAAGAAGGTTGGGAGATGTGGTTTTATAGACGAATGATGAGAATACCCTGGACAGATCAAAAGAGTAATGAAGATGTCTTGAAAGAAACTGACTCACGAAGAGAACTGATTGCCCACATCAGAAAGAGAAAATCTACATTCTTTGGTCATCTGATGAGAAAGGGAAAACTGGAGTACATCATATCGGTAGAAAATTTGGAGGGGAGGAGAGGAAGCGGGAGACTGAGGGAACAGATTCTGGATAGTCTGGGATCATGGCATGGAAGATCGTCTGTGTCAGAGTTGACTGAAAGTACACGAGACAGAAGGTTGTGAATAGACGTGACTACCAACGTCACACGGCATGGACTTTAAGACGAAGAAGAAGAAGAAGAAGAAGAAGAAGAAGAAGAAGAAGAAGAAGAAGAAGAGAAGAAAAGAAGAAAGAAGAAGAAGAAGAAGAAAAGAAGAAGAAGAAGAAGAAGAAGAAGAACAAGAAGAAGAAGAACAAGAAGAAGAAGAAGAAGAAGAAGAAGAAGAAGAAGAAAGAAGAAGAAGAAGATGAAGAAGAATAAGAAGAACATGAACAAGAAGAAGAAGAATGAACAAGAAAGAAGAAGAAGAAGAAGAAGAAGAAGAAGAAGAAGAAGAAGAATAAGAAGAAGAAGAAGAAGAAGAAGAAGAAGAAGAATAAGAAGAAAGAAGAAGAAGAACAAGAAGAAGAAGAAGAAGAAGAAGAAGAATTAAGAAGAAGAAGAAGAAGAACAAGAAGAAGAACATGAAGAAGAAGAAGAAGAAGAAGAAGAAGAAGAAGAAGAAGAAGAAGAAGAAGAAGAAGAAGAAGAAGAAGAAGAAGAAGAAGAAGAAGAAGAAGAAGAAGAAGGATGAGTTTAAAACAAATGTAGCGGGCGAGGAGTTGGTTGAAGGAGGCAAAGGATGAGGGTCCAAACGGGCTAAGAATGGGTCATCAGCATCCAGAAGTTCCCGCTTCCAGAAAATATCTTGGCTGCACACACCAGGACCCGCTGAGGTGAAGGGATATGAAAGAGCCGGCAGACTGGCCGTGTCTGCAATCCTTAATGAAAGAAGAAGTATGGACACGACAGACATTGTGAATGTGCTCCGTTCCAAAGACGTTGAGACAAAGGAATCAGAGACAATGAACCGCCTGTTACAAATGCCTATCAAACGAGAACAAACATGCAGAAACCGATTGCAGGGCAAGACAGAAATGTATACCAGGTACGGAACGGGGACACTAAAATTGTTGCTGCGTTAAAGGACACAGCACGGATGGATCGGACCTATGTCCTAGGATGTCGGTCACGGACAAGCAACAAGTACCAAGGATGCAAGTGGCAAGGGATGGTACGAATGGGAGGTAGGAGATAAGATGGTGGAAGAGAATACGTAAAAGAATAAGAATAAGTTAGTATTAGTAGTGGTGGGTAGTAGTAGTAGCAGAAGTAGAATTTGTACTAATATTAGCAGTAGCACCAGTAGCAATAGTAGAAGTTGTAGTAATATTAGCAGCAGTAGTAGTAGTAGTAGAAGTTGTAGTAATATTAGCAGCAGTAGTAGAAGTTGTAGTAATATTAGCAGCAGTAGTAGAAGTTGTAGTAATATTAGCAGCAGTAGTAGAAGTTGTAGTAATATTAGCAGCAGTAGTATTTGTAGCAGTAGCAGAAGTAGTGTGAAAAGCAGAAACGCCGTTAATCGTAATTATAAAGAAGCCGGGGGGGAAGGAGGAGGAAGGGGGAGCCGAGCTAATATGTAACCAGTTTTTTTTTTTTTTTTTCAAAGCGTAATCGACAAATCCATTTTCTGGAGGTGGAGGTAGTGTGGAACGAATTTTGGAAATATTGCGATGGTTCGCAATGTCTTAGTCACATATTTCCACCAAGCCGCCATGTTAGCGCCCTCGCAAATCTAAAACAGACTGTCTACCTGACAGTTTCGATTATCGGGGAGTCGGTGCTTCTGTTTATAATTCTCAATTTGGCGCAATTGTTTTTGAGACATGAGAAATGGAATCGATTATTGGCTAGCATTCACCCACTGTACAATGTCGTAGCGTTTAAACTGTAGCCACAAAAGCTTATAAGACTTGACAGTGCTACAGATGTGAATTAACGGTTGGATGGGAAACTCAAGGAGTAGTTCAGAATTATGATAGACATAAAATAGTAGGGCTGAAAGAGCAGAAGGATAGACAGAGGTGTAGAAGGACAGGCATAACCGTAGGAAACACATTAAGAGTAGAAGGACAGACAGGAGAGTAGAACGATAGAGAAAAGAGTAGATGGAAAGACAGACGGGGAGGATGGACAGAATAGTACAAGGACAGACAGACAGAAGAATAGAATGAGAGACAGAAGAGGTGAATAGAAGACAAGAGTAGAAGAACAGACATCAGAATACGACAGTCAAAAGAGCAAAAATGACAGAGGAGTGAAAGGAGACATAAGAGAAAGACAGAATGTTATACAAGAACAGAAACTGAGCAAAAAGGAATAGAAGAACAGAATAAAGAGTAGACGGGAGAATGAAAACTCAAGAAGCTTTGGTAGGGGGGGGGGGGGGGGGGAGAGATAAGATGTACATTACACAGAAAAGATAACAGAAAATCATATCTTACAATTCTTAATCTTGTTTAATTTTTAATCAAGATTTATGGGCACATTATGTGCAGTAAAAGGTCCCTTTTCGGCACCTTCAGGCGTTTTGGGCATATAGGGCTAGACCTATATTTTTTACAGATGAATTTGCATTCAGTGGATAATGTGGTGAACAAAATGCCGGCCGCCTTTACTTCCAGGACTTTACCTGGTACCCAGTTAAGGCTGGGTCGACCTGGAAGGCAAGGACTTTTTTAAAACAGTTCGGCTTTCCCAGGATTTGAACCCAGGATCTTCAGGTCTGCAGGAAAGCATCTAGTTGCTACACCACAATGGCTCCCTGAACATGTTATGACACAGACCTGAATGCCGTCGCCATGAGTCCAGCCGTCCAACTACTGGGTTAGGATAGGGGGTGGAGGGGGGGGGGGGGGGGCAACAGACCCAATGCCTCCCCACCCCCAACAAGCATGTCATAGGAGCAACTAATTACAGGTTTTTCCTTCTTATTCAGAGCGCATCTTCACAACAGTAGAGGCCTCTGAACTTTTTACAGTTTAGGGGCCTCATCAAGTCTACATCTGGAAGGGGATTACAACCTGCTACTTTTACTTTGCTTCTACTCTCCTTCAAGTTCATGATCCTAGTGATCACACAGGTAATCCTCCAATTCGTGCGCTGACACACCTCCATGTCATGCAACAAGACTGTCAAGAATCTTCTCTTGTTGTCTTCCTCTATCCCTCTTTCCTCCATTTTCCTTCTTCTCACAACATGGCCTGAAATTGATGACTGTCTCTTTCTGATGTCTGTGATAAGTTGTCTTCGGCCTCCCGCCTCTTTCAAAACCTCTTGGTTGCTCTTTTTGGCTGTCCAGGGTATTTTAAGCATTCTTCTGTAAAACCACATCTCTGAGGCCTCTAAGACTCAATGTTCAATGCATTTTTACCTCAGAATCCAGACCTAGGCTGCCTTCTAGTCGTCCCTCATTTTTTGTGTATTCATATTCCAAGTTTCACAGCCATACATCAGAACAGGTCACAGGTCACTGCTGACCTGGTCAAACTGACCTCACAAGATATACACTAACATCTGCAGCAATGAGCTGCCAGTGGTGGCGCTGTGAGGGACACCTTTCTGACACATCATCAAGAACCCTTTTCTTCTTCTTCTACGTTCACCTTAAAAGGGCGGCTGGCACATTCTGTTGTGGTTTACAGCTAGACTGTGATATCTGCACTTTTCGGCCCATACAATTTTAGCACACTCGTTATCGCACGTTCCACTGTACCAATTTGGGAGGAAAACAAAGGACAGACACAATGACTTCCCTAACAAGCACATCAGAAAAGTTAGTTGATCAGGGCTTTGCTGAACCCAGTTCAAATTCCAGAGCTAAGTCCGAGGAGTTTTTCCAATCTTAAGTGAGAATGACAAGCCTGGTTCCTGGTCTAGTCAGCAACTGCCTGGACAAGCCTGGTTTCTGGTCTAGTCAGCAACTGCCTGGACAAGTGTGGTTCCTGGTCTAGTCAGCAACTGCCTGGACAAGCCTGGTTCCTGGTCTAGTCAGCAACTGCCTGGACAAGCCTGGTTCCTGGTCTAGTCAGCAACTGCCTGGACAAGTGTGGTTCCTGGTCTAGTCAGCAACTGCCTGGACAAGCCTGGTTTTTGTTCTAGTCAGCAACCTGACAAGCAGGTTTCTGGTCTATCAAACTGCCTGGACAATGGTACCTGGTCTACCAGCAACTGCCTAACAAGCTGGTTATCAGCAACTGCCTCATCCTGGTTCCTGGTCTAGTCAGCAACTGCCTGGACAAGCCTGGTTCCTGGTCTAGTCAGCAACTGCCTGGACAAGCCTGGTTCCTGGTCTAGTCAGCAACTGCCTGGACAAGTGTGGTTTCTAAATCCATTTTTGTTTCCAACTTGAGGCAGATAACCACAATGGTACCTACCATACTTTATACTGTTATGTTCATCATCATTATCCTGTAACAGTGCATGTCGTTGGGTGACATATTTACTGTCTGATCAGCTCCGTCTACCTTTGACAGTCAGACGCAATGGAGTGTAACACATGTCTAAGGCTTGTCCAGTTAGTAAAGTTTTCTGTATCCAGTTCTTTCTTGGTCGGACTCTTCTTGTGTAATGATAGTTGTTTTTTTTTTAAATCTGCAGCAATCATGCCCAAGAGACCCAGCTGCCACTAGTAGCCTGAATGTCTGACCCCAGCTTGTCTGTCATTCCTGGAAATTAAACTAAGCTATGTACATAAAGATAAGTCGCTCAAGTCAGAAGCTTCAGGTTGCATCCCTCATCTGAACATAATTTGTGGGCACCACTCTAAGGTGCTCATTTCTTTCTGAATGAGAGCCTGCATCTGTGCTGCTCTCTGTCTTAGAATACACAACTAAAGAGTTCTCCTTTTCCTGACCACCACTAGCTGAAATACCTTCATCTGTTAACTCTGTGACCACCAGCCTGCCATGTGGCAGCTGCTCTTCAACAGCTGATGCTGCTAGCTTCTTCCTCTCCAGCAGAGACTTGGTCCACATCAGATCCTCCAGCCAGAGCTCCTCGTTGACTGGATTGAGGTGGACGGCTCTTGCAAAACTTTTCAAAGCCTGCAACAATTAAGTACAATTGACAGATCAGATTTGGTCGAAGGCAATGATCATAATGTTCTGGTTAAACATGGGCACTGTATCATCAACTGTCAGAAACATGTTTCAAAATTAGCAACACTACCCACAAGAGACTATTTATAGAAGGTGTCATGCAAATATATACACATATCTGGATCTTTGCTGATGCTTCGGAATATGTCAGTTGTGCCGAGATTCTCCCAGTCTGGTCTACACTAGAAGATGTACACCATCTATGGAGGTATTCATGGGCAATAAAAGTGAACCTTAACAAAACAAAACCAATCTTCTAGGAGTGAAAACTGTTTTAGTCTGCCCCAAAAGTTGTGCCCAACTTTAAAAATCTGTAACTCATTAATCATTTCATGTAAACTGTTGAAATTTGGCAGACAGTCTCTTAATAAACATGTCTCTTTAGAAAATAACTAAAAAAATAATTGACTTATCTGTGGTATGTGGAAAAAAAAACAATAGAGATTCAAAGAATACTATTAGCACGCTTACAGTAAATGGCTTGAGGAGAAGTTGGCAAAACTTCAAATTGCATGCGTTTTGGGGGTAATTTGTATGAGAAACTAAGGCACAGTTATTTTGAATAGTGAAGTGGATATGGTATATACTGACATAACGCTTGTTGATGGACTCACAAAAAGTACATGATCTGTGTCAATATTGTATGTCCTTTTTTAATCTCAGGTACACATATTATTAGTCCGAAAAAGAACACAGAAATTCACCATTGTAAGAAAACAGCAGCACCTGTGCAATTGTAAATTATGAAATCATAAAGCTAAGGACTATATGAACAAATCTGCGTTGCCAAACAGTTGGGGGCCGCATTAGAGCAGTCGATAGGAGACTCACTTTCAAATCCAGCTGCAACTTGCTGCAGCCCACAGCCGGTGTTTGAGACCAGTCGGTTCCCGAGTTTCAACCAGCCTCTAGGAAATGAGTACCAACCAGAGTTAACACTCTGGGGTAAACGGAGGAACGTTGCTGTAGCTAGGGAGTTTTGTGCGGACGGCGACACAGGCGGACAGTTTCTTATCAGCTGTCAGTACTGGTGGCAGAGCACTTATGGTTTTATAACCGCGTGCAATGACACTGGTTCACATCTCCCGACTTTACCTTTTTTTTTTTTTTTTTTTACAGGAGTTTTTGAGATTTTTGTTAAATTTTAAGGACAGGACTTTTAGAATGAACAATAACTCTTCACGTCGACTAGGTCCTGGCATAATGTAAAGCAGGTGGCCTGTTATTTTCCTACAGCCTTTTTTCCCCAGAAAATTATCCACCTCAGAGGTTTGTTAAAGCCTCCTTTTGTCAGAGAAATAACTGCCACTAAAGACTGAATGAAAATTAGTAACCAGGGAAAGAGATGTCTGAGAAGGGCTGCAGGAGTGACCAGAGGAGATCAAATCTGGGATGAAGTCATAAGATAAAAAGTTGGCACAGAATCAATTCTAAATCATGTACAAAGACAGCAAATCAAACAGTTGATGTACTTAGAATGTCTTGTGATGCCAGAACATACAAGGAGAAGGGCACAGAGCATAAAGCAGACCAAGAACCAGATGGAAAGATAACACCCGAGAAACTTTACATCATCAGTACAAGAGGAAGTGAAGAGGAGGATGAAGAAGAATCAACCAGGACCAGTGATGCTGACTGCAAGAACTACAATGCCACATCAGCTCAACATGAACTGTTCTCAATGTGCATGAATGTGTTTCTTGTCTTTTAAAAAAAACTAGCAAACAAATACAACTAGAAAATGTGAGGTCCTTACCAGTTTGACCTCACCAATATTAGCCAGTGCTCGTCCCAATGTCTGGTGACCAACCCACCATGTAGGCGTCAACGCCACGACCCTCTCCGCTGCCTGTAGAGCAGGAAACACTTCTCCGACAGCCATCAGAGCCTGGTGAAAAATATCTCTCAATCTTTGGACTGCCAAGTCATACCAAGTTATTCAGTCAGAAGCTGTACCTTAACATGAACTGTTACTAGCAAGCTCAATGGGCGGAAAGTAAAAGGCATCAATAAATGACTTGTCTTTTTCTGAGCATTCACCAGCTGTAAACTCCAGCGTAAAGACCTGGTTGTGTGTCCACACCTGAACTTTGATCCTGGTCTAGAACTGGGGTCTTCTGTGCACATCCGTATTACAAATCTAGCTTTTCTATATGGAGATTGGTAGTTCCTGGCCCCTCAGGCAAATGCACTCTGACTCTGATAGAAACATCCTCAACCAGTCACCTTCAACAACATCCTTGTTATGGAAGCAGTGGATGTGTTCTTTGTTCTCCCACAATATCCTTGTTATGAGGGCAGTGAATCTGTTCTTTGTTCTCCCACAATATCCTTGTTATGAGGGCAGTGAATCTGTTCTTTGTTCTCCCACAATATCCTTGTTATGAGGGCAGTGAATCTGTTCTTTGTTCTCCTACAATATCCTTGTTATGAGGGCAGTGAATCTGTTCTTTGTTCTCCAACAATGGAGCCATGGAACCCACATTCAGTCTGAAGACTAGCAAATAAAAAATGAGTCCAGCACAGTGGTCTCCAATCTTTTTGAGGTGGGGGCATACCTTGCCCCTAAGATAGCATAACAAAACGTGATTCAAGAACAGGACAAATTCCTATGCACTGTAGATATGAACTTGGACACAAACATTCAGATAAAACAAAGTCTCAAATAACAAAAGAAACAATCACCAAAGGTAAAAGTAAAGGGCCCTTTTCCATGTCATCAGGCGTATTGGGGATATAGGGCTAGACCTATATTTTATACCCCAATCAGTCCTTGGTGAGTTATGTGGTAAGCATAACGCCGGCTGCCTTTACTTCCCAGGACTGCACCTGGTACCCACCCAAGGCTGGGTCGACCTGGGAGCCAAAGTTATTTTCAACAAAAGTCCGGCTCCGTCAAGGCCCAAACCCTTGAATCTCTGATCTGCAGGCGAGTGTCTAGCCGCTACACTATGGCGGCTCTCAGCTTTAAGAGTCTTGGGAAGTAAAACCTGCCAAAAGTGATGCTGACAACATCGCCCACCAAATGCTGATTCGTCTATAAAATAAAGGCCTACCCTTAATGCCCAATACCCCTGAAGGCAGGGGAAAAGGGACCGTCCGTCCTTATCTTTCTAATAAAACTGTCAGATCGTCGTTACCGCTGCTATTATTTAACTGAACACTCAGACTAAAAGCGTTACCTGGGCTTTCATTTCCAAGATCTTCTCGTTGAGTGGGGTCAGTTGCATGGCTTCATCCCATTTCTTTATAGCCTCCCAATACCTGCACACAACCACAGATTAATATCATATAAACATCATATAAACATCATTTAAACGTCTCACTGCTACAGACATCACTATAAAATGAAAAAAAAAAAAACAATTAATTGTATCAGGCTGTACGCCTTCTTCTTTTCCTGCTTATTCTTTATATTCTTCTCCTCCATCTCATCCCCCTTGCTATTCATATTTTTCTCCACTTTTTCTTCTTCATTGTTGTTCACCTCCTCCTTCTATTAAAACCTTCACTCCCACTCTTTCTTCATCTTCTCAAACCCTCCATCTCCTCGTTAAAACCATCACTCCCACTCTTTCTTCATCTTCTCAAATCCCCCCCCCCTCCCCTCTCCCCCCCCTCCTCCTCCTCCTCCTCCCCCCCCCCCCCCTCCTCCTTCCCCCCCCCCCCTCCTCCCTCCCCCCCTCCCTCCCCCCCCCTCCCCCTCTCCCTCCTCCCTCCCCCCCCCCCCTCCTCCTCCCCCCTCCCCCCTCTCTCCCTCCCTCCTCTCTCCTCCTCCTCTCCCCTCCCTCCTCCTCCTCCTCCCCCTCCCCTTCCCCCCTCCCCTCTCTCCCCCCCCCTCCTCCCTCCCTCTCCTCCCCCTCCTCCCCTCTCCTCCTCCCCTCCCTCCCCTCCTCTTCCTCCTCTTCTCCCCCCCCTTCCTCCTCCTCCCCCCCCCCTCCCCTCCTCCTCCCTCTTCTCCTCCCTCCTTCCCCTCCTCCTCCTCCTCCCCCCTCACTCCCCCTCTCCTCCCTCCTCTTCCTCAAACCCTCCCCTCCTCTCTCCCTCCCTCCCCCCCCTCCCTCCTCACTCTCCTCCTCCCCCTCCCCCCCTCCTCCCCCCCCCCCCCCTCCCCTCCCCCCCCCCCCTCTCTCTTCTCTCCCCCCTCCTCCTCCTCCTCCTCCTCCCTCCCCCCCTCCCCCTCCCCCCTTCCTCCTTCTCCTCCCCCCCTCCCTCCTCCTCCCTCTCCCCTCCTCCTCCCCCTCTCCTCCTCCTCCTCTCCCCCCCTCCCCTCCCCCCCTCCCCCCCACTCCCCCTCCCTTCCCTCCTCCCCCCCTCCTCCCCTCCCCCCCCTCCTCCCCCCTCCTCCCCCTCCTCCTTCCCTCCTCCCCCCCCCCCCTCTCTCCTCCCCCCTCTCCTCCCCTCCCCCTCCCCTCCTCCCCCTCCTCTCCTCCCCCCCTCCCTCCTCTCCCCCCCTCCCCTCCCCCTCCTTCCCCCTCCCTCCTCCCCCCCCCCTCCCTCCTCCCCCCCCCCTCCCTCCCCTCTCCTCCTCCTCTCCCCCCCTCCCCCCTCCCCCCCTCTCCTCTCCCCCCTCCTCCCCCCTCCTCCTCCTCTCTTCCCTCCCCCCTCCCCCCTCTCCTCCCCTCCCTCCTCCCCCTCCTCCTCCTCCTCTCCCCCTCCTCTCCTCCCTCCCCCCCCTCCCCCCTCCCTCTCCCCCTCCTCCCTCTCTCTCTCCCCCTCCTCTCCCCCCTCCCCCTCCTCCTCTCCCTCCTCTCCCCTCCTCCTCTCCCCCTCCTCCTCCCCTCCCCCCTCTCCCCCTCCTCCTCCCCTCTCCTCCTCCCCCCCTCCCCTCCTCCCTCTCCTCCCCTCTCCCCCCCTCCTCCCCCTCCTCCTCCTCCCTCCTCCTCTCTCCTCCCCCTCCCTCTCCCCCCCCCCCCCCTCCTCCCTCCCCCTCCTCCCCCCCCCCTCCTCCCTCCCCCTCCCTCTCCCCCCTCCCTCCTCTCCCCCTCCTCCCTCTCCCTCCCTCTCCTCCCCTCCTCCCCCCTCCCCCTCCCTCCTCCTCCCCTCCTCCTCCCCTCCTCCCCCCCTCCTCCCCCTCCCCCCTTCCCCCCCCCCCTCTCTCTCCTCCCCCCCCCCCCCCCTCCTCCTCTCTCCCTCCTCCCCTCCTCTCCTCCCCCCCCCCCCTCCTCCCCTCCCTCCTCCCCCCCTCCCCCCCCTCCTCTCCCTCCTCCTCCCCCCCCCTCCTCCCCCTCCCCCTCTCCTCCTCCCCCCCCCCTCCCCCCTCCTCTCTCCTCCCCCTCCTCCCTCCCCCCCCTCTCCTCCTCTCCTCCCCCTCCTCCCTCCTCCCTCCCTCCTCTCCCCCCCTCCTCCTCCCCTCCCTCCTCCTCCCCCTTCCCTCCTCCCTCTCCCCCTCCTCCTCCTCCCCCTCTCCTCCTCCCTCTCCCCCCTCCTCCCTCCTCCCTCCCCTCTCCTCCTCCTCCCCCCCCCCCCTCCCCCCCCTCTTCCCCCCCTTCCCTCCCCCCCCTCCCTCCTCTCCTCTCCTCCCCCCTCTCCTCCCTCTCCTTCCTCTCCTCCCTCCCCCCTCCTCCCCTCCTCCTCCTCCCCCCCTCCTCCTCCCCCTCCCCTCTCCTCCTCCTCCTCCCCCTCCTCCCCCCTCCTCCCCTCCTCCCCCCCCCCTCTCTCTCCCCCCCTCCTCTCTCCCCCTCTTCCCTCCCTCTCCTCCCCCTTCCTCCCTCTCCTCCCCCCCCCTCCCTTCTCCCTCCTCCCTCCTCCTCCCCCTCCTCCCCCTCTCCTCCTCCCCCCTCTCCTCCCCCCCTCCTCCTCCCTCCTCCTCCCTCTCTCTCCCCCTCCTCCTCCTCCCCCTCTCCTCCCCCTCTCTCCCCCCCCCTCCTCCCCCTCTCCCCTCCTCCCTCCTCCCTCCCCTCCTCCTCCTCCTCCCTCCCCCCCCCTCCTCCTCCCTCCTCCTCCCCCCCCCCCTCTCCCCCTCCTCCCCCCCCTCCCCTCTCCTCCCCTCCTCCTCCTCTTCCCCTCCCCTCTCCCCCCCCCCCCTCCCTCCCCTCCTCCTCCCTCTCCCCCCTCTCCCCCCCTCCTCCTCCCTTCTCCCTCCCTCCCCCTCTCCTCCCTCCTCTCCTCCCTCCTCCCCCCCCCCTCCCCCTCCTCCCTCCTCCTCCTCCTCCTCCCCTCCCTCTCCCCCCTCTCTCCTCCCCTCCTCCTCCCCCTCCCCCCTCTCCCCCCTCTCCTCCCCCTCCTCCTCCTCTCTCCCTCCTCCTCTCCCCTCCTCCCCTCCCCTCCCTCCCTCTCCTCCTCCTCTCCTCCCTCTCCTCCCCCTCCCCCTCCCTCCCCCTCCCCCTCCCCCCCCCCTCCTCCTCCTCCTCCCCTCCCTCCCTCCTCCCCTCCTCCTCTCCCTCCCTCCTCCCCTCCTCCCCCTCTCCCCCTCCCCCTCCTCTCCTCCTTCTCTCTCTCCTCCTCCCCCCCTCCTCCCTCCCTCTCCTCCCCCCCCCTCTCCTCCTCTCTCTCTCCCCCCTCCTCCTCCCCCTCCTCCTCCTCTCTCCTCTCCTCCCCCTCTTTCTTCTCCTCCTCCTCCCCCCCCTCCTCCTCCCCCCCCCCCCCCCCTCCTCCTCTCTCTCCTCTCCTCTCTCCCTCCCTCCTCCCCCTCCCTCTCCCCCCCTCCCTCCTCCCCCCTCCTCCCTCCCCCCTCTCCTCCCCCCCTCTCTCCTCTCCCTCCTCTCCCCTCCTCCTCTCCCCTCCTCTCCTCCCCCCTCTCCTCCTCCTCCTCCCCCTCCTCCTCCTCTCCTCCTCCTCCTCTCCCTCCCCCCCCCCCCCTCCCTCCCTCCCCCCCTCTCCTCTCCTCTCCTCTCTCCCCCCTCTCTCCCCCTCCTCCCTCCTCCTCCCCCCCTCCTCCTCCCCCTCCCCCTCCCCCCCCCCCCTCTCCCCCTCCCTCCTCCTCCTCCTCCCTCCCTCTCCTCCTCCTCTCCCTCCTCCTCCTCCTCCTCCCCTCCTCCTCTCCCCCTCCTCTCCCCCTCCTCCTCCTCCTCCTCCTCCCCCCTCCTCCTCCTCCTCCCCCCTCTCCCTCCCCCCCTCTCTCTCTCCCCCCTCCCCTCCCCTCCCTCCTCCCTCCCTCCTCCTCCCTCCCTCCCCCTCCCCCCCCCCTCCTCCCCTCCCTCCTCCCCCCTCCTCCTTCCTCCTTCCCTCCCCCCCCCTCTCCCTCTCCCCCTCCCTCCCCTCCTCCCTCCTCCTCCTCCTCCCCCCCCCCTCCCCTCTCCTCCCCTCCTCTCTCCTCCCCCCTCTCCTCTCCTCCTCCTCCTCCCTCCTCCTCCTCCTCTCCCCTCCTCTCCTCCCCTCTCCCCCCCCTCCTCCTCCTCCTCCCCCCCCCCCCTCCCTCCTCTCCTCCCCCCCCCCCTCCCCTCCCCTTCTCCCCTCCTCCCCCCCTCTCTCCCCCCTCCTCCTCCCTCCCTCCTCCCCCCCCCCCCCTCCCCTCTCTCCTCCTCCTCCCTCCCCCTCCCTCCCCTCCCCTCCCTCTCCTCCCCCCCCCCCCCCTCTCTCCCCTCCCCCCTCCCCCCCCCTCTCCTCTCCTTTCCCCCCTCCTCCTCCCCCTCTCTCCTCCTCTCCTCTCCCCTCCTCCCCTCCTCCCCCCTCCTCCCCTCCCCCTCTCCCCCCTCTTCCCCTCCTCTCCTCCCCCCCTCTCTCCCTCCCCCTCCTCCTCCCCCTCTCTCCTCCTCTCTCCTCCCCTCCTCCCCCCCTCCTCCTCCCCTCCCCTCCTCCCCCCTCCCCTCCCCCCCCTCCTCCTCCCTCCTCCCCCCCTCCTCCTCTCCCCCCCCCTCCTCTCCCCCTCTCCTCCTCCTCCCTCTCAAACCCCCCCCTCCTCCTCCCTCCTCCTCCCCTCCTCCCCCTCCCCCTCCTCCTCCCCTCCCTCCCTCCTCCTCCCCTCCCCTCCCTCTCCTCCTCTCTCCTCCCCCCCTCCTCCCCTCCTCCCCTCCCCCCCTCCCTCCCCTCCCCCCCTCTCTCTCCCCCTCTCCCTCCTCCTCCCCTCCCCTCTCCTCCTCCCCCCCCCCCCCCCCCCCCCCCCTCCCTCTCTCCTCCTCCTTCTCAAACCCCTCCTCTCCTCCCCCTCCTTCTCCCCATCCTCCCCCCCTCTCTTCCTCTCTCTCCCTCTCCTCCTCCTCTCCCCCCCCCCCCCCTCCCACCCCCTCCCCCTCCTCCTTCCTCCTCCCTCTCCCCTCCCCCTCCCTCCTCTCCTCCCTCCCCCCCTCCTCTCCCTCCCTCCCCCCCCTCCCTCCCTCTCCTCTTCCCTCTTCTCTCTCCCTCCTTCTCCTCCTCCCTCCCTCCCCCCCCACTCCCTCTCCTTCTCCCCTCCTCCTCTCCTCCTCCTCCCTCCCTCCTCTCTCCTCCTCTCCTCCTCTCCCTCCTCTCCCCCCTCACTCCCACTCTTTCTTCATCTTCTCAAACCCTCCTTCATCTCCTCATTAAAACCATCACTCCCACTCTTTCTTCATCTTCTCAAACCCTCCTTCATCTCCTCGTTAAAACCATCACTCCCACTCTTTCTTCATCTTCTCAAATACTGCTTCATCTCCTCATCCTTCTCCTTATTTAGCTTCTTCCCCTCTTCCTCATTCTTCTTCTCACCTTCTCCTCCTTATCTTTTCCACCTCCATTATCTTCTCCTCCTCCTTAATCTTATCCTTCACCTCCTCGTAAAAAAGCAAAAGTATTTCTGGCATACTTCCTCAACTGAACTGATATAACTTGCACTTAAAATATATGTATATTATTTTATATTTTTAAGATGGAAATGCTGAATACTTATCCCTGTTATGACTTATCTGGTCTAGAAAACCATTTTTTTTTTAATGAATACAAAAAAACCTAAGAAAAGTTCCTGTGGCTGAGCAGAATACACTGAGGCAATCAATCAATCGCACAAATTTCTTCATGCAAGTCTCATGGCAGCAGAAATAAGGAAGAGCCAAATCAAAGCAGAAACCCACACAAAGAAGATAATGTGGCCATTCACAACAGAAGCTGAACAGTCTGGAGACTAGCTAATATATCTCTTGGGTTCACTGCTTGTGCTCACTGGCTATAAACCCAGTTCTGGCTGGTCGTCCATTTCTAGATTTTTGCTTTGTTCAAGGAGTTTTGCGTCCGCACCAGTTTTGCAGATCTGGCTTAACTGTGTGCTGAATGTTGATTCCTTGCCTCTCGGGTGGATGCAGTCCGACTTCAAAGGACCCTCCTAATTAATCAACTCCTACAACAAGCTTGTTAGGGAGGCAGTGGATCTATTCTTTTCTTTTTTTCCCCCACTGAGGCGGTGGAACCCACACGGGCAAGTGGTGGGTGTGTCTGCAACTAGGTCACCCATTGGCTCCCCGGATCAACATCATGGCACAAGGATAGTAACCCATAAGTTACAAAAAAAAAAAAAGGTAAAGTCGGGAGATGTGAACCAGCGTCATTGCACATAGTTATAAACCATAAAAACCCATAAGTGCTCCATTCTACTTCTAACTCATGTCTTAGTCCAAAGAATCTCAACTCAGTGCATGAACTCCGTAGTACCGGCAAGGATCCTGAACTGGTGTGTAGACGACTTCATTGCCGGCCACAACAGTATTTGGCTCTGTCTCCTTTAATCGCAACAACATTGCAGGAATCCTTTTCAAGGCTCTTGGTGGCGTGTAGCACTAAGACACTGTATATGGCGCACATAACCTGGTCACATTTATAACCTAAAGCTCCCCCTTTGAGGATGCTGATTGAACATAATGATTTTTAATTTTTTTCCCTGCAAAAATTGATGATGATGATACTGATTTATTTACTGCTGTAATACTTACCGCTCGGACTCTGCCAGAACTGCCCCTTCGGCTTTCAGGCGTTCGCTCTTGGACAGACTATCTTCTAGCGATATAAACTTTCTTTTAGGAGCTAGAGTCAGCCAATCAACTTCATTGCTCTCCTCATCTACGGCATCTGTAGCATCAGAACTAAAGGTGACGGCTGTAGTCTTGCGTAACTTTTCCCCAACTTTCCTTTTCCAACCAAAACTTGTCATTTCGCTGTTCAAAACAATTGATCTATTACCTGAGAATATCGTAACAAATCTGAAATTACAAATCATTTCAGCTATACAACAGCTAAATGTATTAATGGCATAAGATATTCTGTTTGACGCCAGTCTTGAAACTGTGATAAAGTATTTATATACCAAAACGAGAAAAACATAAAGTTAACAGGTGCAGTAAACCTCAGACTTCTGCAAAAGCAAGAAATTATATGGATTCAATATATGCTAGGTCATAGAGCAATGCTGCAATGTTTAACTGATGTAGCAATTTGGGCTAGGTCATAGAGCAATGCTGCAATGTTTAACCGATGTAGCAATATATGCTAGGTCACAGAGCAATGCTGCTATGTTCAACTGATGTAGCAATATATGCTAGGTCATAGAGCAATGCTGCAATGTTGATGTAGCAATATAGGCTAGGTCATAGAGCAATGCTGCAATGTTTAACTGATGTAGCAATATAGGCTAGGCCATAGAGCAATGCTGCAATGTTTAACTGATGTAGCAATATAGGCTAGGTTATAGAGCAATGCTGCAATGTTGATGTAGCAATATATGCTAGGTTATAGAGCAATGCTGCAATGTTTAACTGATGTAGCAATATATGCTAGGTCATAGAGCAATGCTGCTGTTGATGTAGCAATATAGGCTAGGTTATAGAGCAATGCTGCAATGTTTAACTGATGTAGCAACATAGGCTAGGTTATAGAGCAATGCTGCAATGTTTAACTGATGTAGCAATATATGCTGGGTCATAGAGCAATGCTGCTGTGTTCAACTGATGTAGCAATATATGCTAGGTCATAGAGCAATGCTGCATTGTTGATGTAGCAATATATGCTAGGTCATAGAGCAATGCTGCAATGTTGATGTAGCAATATAGGCTAGGTCATAGAGCAATGCTGCAATGTTGATGTAGCAATATATGCTAGGTCATAGAGCAATGCTGCAATGTTGATGTAGCAATATAGGCTAGGTTATAGAGCAATGCTGCAATGTTTAACTGATGTAGCAATATATGCTAGGTCATAGAGCAATGCTGCAATGTTCAACTGATGTAGCAATATATGCTAGGTCATAGAGCAATGCTGCAATGTTTAACTGATGTAGCAATATATGCTAGGTCATAGAGCAATGCTGCAATGTTGATGTAGCAATATACGCTAGGTCATAGAGCAATGCTGCAATGTTTAACTGATGTAGCAATATATGCTAGGTCATAGAGCAATGCTGCAATGTTTAACTGATGTAGCAATATATGCTAGGTCATAGAGCAATGCTGCAATGTTCAACTGATGTAGCAATGTATGCTAGGTCATAGAGCAATGCTGCTATGTTCAACTGATGTAGCAATATATGCTAGGTCATAGAGCAAGGCTGGGCTATCCTCCGAATAACGGGCACATATTATGGCGGCTGCAAAAACACCCTAACATGGCCTCAGTCACATGTAAATTGCGGACTTCCGGCGACTTAAATTGCGCACTTCCAACGACTACCGCCACGAGTATCTCTAACGCCGCTACGCTTGGATTGGGGCTAAACTAGATGGCTGGGACTCACGAGCAGCAGCTTCCACATCTCCTGCAGCTTTACCTTTATCTCCAGCCACCTAGTTTAGCCCCAATCCACGCCGCGCGTAGCGGCATGGGAGATACTCTCGGCGGTGTCGGTAGTCGCCGGAAGTCCACAAATTACATGTGACTGAGGCCCTGTTTTTGGCCGCCATAATATGTGCCCAATGCTGTTATCTTAAACTTATGTTGAATGTTTCAAACATACTCAGCAGTAACTGAGTTACCTGAGTGAACTGTTTGGAAGGTACGATTGTATATGTGCCCTTTCTAACGCGTTGTATAAAAAATTCCAAAATGGCCAACAGTCGACTGACTGCTCGTGCTCTGAAAAGTTATTTATTCTATGCTACTTTTTGCTGATGCAAATTCCTAACTTTTTGACCTGCAGTGTAAAAGATCTGTCTCTTAGCTACTGAGTTATGTGCTTGGTACAACACTGTGAGCTGTAAATTTTGTGTGGAATTCTGTTTTCTGCTGTGCCCACGCTATGTTGTTGACAGCGCTATGATGAGGGATATGTTTTAAAGGGTACCACGTTAGAAATGTCAACTGGCACATATAGAATTAATATTAGTGAAAAGGCGATTTTCTTCAGTGTCTGTTAGTTCTAGTGCTATTCCTCTTATTATTTAGGACCATAGCTACAAAATTACAGGCAAACTGTGTGTTATATAAACTTTGTTTTGTGTGAAGATACTAATAATGGTTTTTGGAAGTCAGTTTTCTGTACCAAATAATGGTGCTCTGTTATGATCAAAAGATTCTCTGGAACAAATCTAATGTACGGACTGAGTTTATATTACTAAGTGGCCCGTCTCTTCACTTGTGATTTATTATGGATATATTTTAACGAGTTTTCCTTGAGAGCCATGGTGATAAGTGGAAATCTTGTTATTTCATTTTACTAACTTATGTAAACATACCGTCTGTTTATTTACTAATATTTAATTACAACACAATAATATGTTGTTTCGATGTATAATTATCATAGAAGTAATAATACTATAGATATTATTATTATTATATAAAATTAATTAATAATTAAATATGTTGCGCGGAAATGGGATTAGTAGTACTAGTATGGTCTGTTTTAATGTGTTACACTGGTGAAACTAAAAAGTTGCATTACCACCCCTTGAGCCTCTGGTGCTAAACCCCCTAGGACTTGAAGAGTTAATAATAGTTCAATGATATGTTTAAAAACTAAACACGGTCAGATTCAGACATCTCCGACTTACAGTAGCCGGCCATTTGGGCACCGACAGAGTTGTCGTCTGCTTCTGTATCACGTGACTGGCGTGTCTCCGTACGTTAGACAGGGGAACGGAGATGTTCAGTACTGGACAGAAGTGATTTGTGTGCAGATTGTTCGTGCTTTGCCTCTCAGGCAGATGCACTCCGACTCTGACAGAAGCCCCCAGTTAGTTGAATCTCGCGACATGTTTGTTGGGGAGGCAGTGGGTCTATTCTTGTTTGCCCCCACAATTGGGCCCCGAATGCACACAGGAAAACCCCCACTCACCTGTTTACTCATCATCATCAGGTGCACCGCCGACGGGGTTGGCGTTCATGCATCTCCACAGATCTCGATCCCTTTTCCTCTGGATCAATGCCACAGTCGCGATCCACCTCTCATCATGTCTCTCAGTCTGTCTCCTGCTCTTCTACCGTTGATCTTCCCAGTCATTACAATATTCTCCAAAGACTCCCTCTCATCACATGACCACAAAACAGGGCTTCTTATTTGTTCCCCTTATAGCTGAATATATTGATCTGCTTTAACGTATACTGCTAAAACACAATTATATTGAGACACCCAATTTATTTCCTCTCATAAAGCTACTTTCTCTATAATACTTTGTCAGTTGATACGACACATACATTTCTTGTTTGTTTTGTAAATGTTTGTGATGAGTGTTCTAGTAATAAATGCATCTCTCAGTAGTTCAGTGTTTGTTATCATCTCTTTCACGTTATTCTCGTCATTCTGTTGATACAGATCCATATCACCACAGTGCCAGTTTCTTCAAAATATCTTTGATCATTGTCCATCATACACATCCATAAGGAAAACCGGTCATAAATTTCATTAACCATAATCCATCAGTCACATCCACACTGGAGATTAACGAGACTCCCATTTCATCAGTCATAATCCATTAATCACACTTATACACGAAAACAGGATCACATACATTTCATTAAACATAAGTTTATACTAGCCATCATTTCTAGTTTTCACGATGTTACTCTTCTCGTTAAAGAATCTTTGCATACAAGAAACATTTAATGAACGAATTTGAGCTTGGAGAAAGAATTTGAACAAAACAAAAAGTGTGGGGGGAGGGGGGGGGGGGAGATCTCTAAACAAATTTGTGTCTGCAGAAAGAACTTGGTCAAGACAAGAGAAGGAACTACTGCATGATTTTGTGTATGCTGAAGGGTTTGGGCCAGGGCAAGAGACATTTTATGTATGAGACAAATTTTTCATTAATGAATGTTTATGCACACAACACTTAAGTTCTGGAACAGGACTAAAGTCCACAGGTGGTTGAACAACCAGAACTTTCTGCTGGAGTTTATAGCTTCTTCTTCTTCTCTTCCACCTTGTACCTCATCGAAGTGTCGGGAGGAGATGTAACATTCGTTGATGAGCTCTGTCAAGAGCACTATTAAGACTGATGTTCATTTCTGTAAGGCTGTTCTTAATTCCATCACTCCATATTTTCTGAGGTCTTCCACTCGCTCTATACCCGTTGTAACGTTTTAGTGTGGCTCGCTTTGGCAGAGAGTACCAGGGCATTCTTGTTAGGTGTCCAACCACTTGATTTGTTGTTCTTTGATGACCTTTAAGAGCTTTTACAGCTGATTAATGCAAAGAAGAACAAGACGGGAAATATTTAATAAATAAATGTTTATCAGGAGAAAGGGCTTGAGCCAGACAATGAGAAACATTTTATGAATAAAAGTTTTTGGTTAAAGATAAAAGCCCACCAAGAATGGCGTATCTGTTAGTGAAGGCATTTAACAGTTTTCTGATCCTCCAGTGCTAAACTTTGAATTTCCATGGTTTTTTTTTCCAACTGTTTTTATAGTTTTCAGAGGCTGGTATGAGAGTCATACTGTGGAATAGATTTGGATCTCATCCCGTAATATTCCCAAAGACAGAACTGGGTACAAAGTAACCAAACTTCACGGTGGAGACGACAATAAAACAAATAAAGCAACAATATGAACGAAGTCAATGAGAAATATTTTATAAATGAATGTTTATTGTATCTCCCAAAAGCAATTTAAAATACAGTGATTTCCAAGTTTGTCTAAAACGAAACATGTCATTCATCAACAACAAATGAACACTAGCGCAGGGAAAAGAGCAGCAGTTTCCTGCGCAATAACCAATCTTCCAAT